CTCATCCTTCCCGTCTGCAGGTGTCTGTGTTCAGTCTTCAAGCACTTACATACCCTTTTGTGCTGTCTTTGTCCTTTCCTCAGAAGCATCCCATTAAACTTCCCTCAAACTCCCTCCGGATCCTCTTTCAAATTCTTCTTTAACCTTTTCCTTTGCTGGGCTGTCTACAGACTCCTTGTCAATAGTAAAACATTTAGAGTGCCGGGACCACAATTTTCCTTGCTGACTGGTTTTGTCTGATTGCTTCTTTGTATTTCCTATCTATACCCAGTTGTTATTACTTGTATTAGATTGTAAATTCCTTCAGTTGGACCCTTCTTTGTATTCTGTGTTTGTCCAATACCCAGCACAATGGGGCTGTTCCACAATCTGAGCAGCCAGGATCTGTGGTGGTATAAGCAAAAACCATGAAATAATAGTAATAAAATAATGAGAAGTTAGAACGTGGCATCATGTGCAATATGAGCTCCTCTCCTCCCTTCCCCCTCTTCCTTCAGATTCTCAATATTTCAAATTTTTTATACAACAGAATACAGTAAATGAGGAGGTTTCAGAATAAAGTGTAGTAGCTGATGTTTCCTTTCAGCTGCTGAAGTGTTTCCCTGTGATCCAACTCAGTAATGATGGCATTTCCAGCAGTTTCAGCAGGGAAGCCTCTGTGGGCACCTCTGTATGTCCCCCCAAGGTAAGACCAACATGTGGCAGCCAGGCTAGGCTGAAGGAAGGTCACGGCCAAAGTCATGAACCTCTTTCATGCAAAAATAGAGGACTCCAGTCTCCCAGGCTTGCTGCCAACGTATCACCTTCTAGTTTTGCTGAAATGATCTTGAAAAAGGACCTAAAAAGGGCTGAAGGGGCAAAAGAAGAATGTTGAAATGGCATAGTTTCATCTTCATGCAGTTTAGTACTAATTTTGTCCTTTGTCTTTAAGCTGCCTTTTAAGTGCTGTTTGTCTCTGTGGGAAGCAAATGGGTCACGTTGTTCTATGTTTCTACTGTAATACGCTGCCTGCTATTTTTCTCTTAGATTATTTGTGTAATCTTTTTTGTGCAATCTGTTTGTTCTTGAGTCTTGCAAGCTTTGCCTTTGCTACTTCTTTCCCAATAAGCAGTGCAACTTGTTCTGTATTCACTCATGGGTATTCTGCACACAACGGACTGGGTTATTTCAACCAGTGTGAAAATATTAAAATGGGGAACATGTGTGGGCACTTAACTGTGGTGAATCCGAACACAAATACCTTTGCCGTTGGTAATTGGCACACAGGAAAAGCAGACCTTTGATTCGTTTTTATCAGACATAATGATAGAGACATTGTTTTTAGTGGGGTTTTTCTGGTTTTCTAAGGAAATGAGGCTTGTGCAATCGCACTGCCTGTGTGCATGTGCCTGTCTGTTTGTTAGTTCCTCCCTCACCAATAACCCGGGAAACTAATAGGCATTTTCAACCAAATTTGAGCGAGGTGCAGGAGTCGGGCAAAGAGACCTGGTTTTACGCAAGTCTTGCGAGTTCCCAGGTTGTACCAAAGTCTGCAGAAGGTGCAGCCTCTAATGGCCACATGACTGCAAGCCAGATCGGTTGTGTATTTGCCTGCATGCCTTTACGTGGATCGAGTCACCTAACTGTAAGCTCCCAAATTTGAATATTTTGGCTTACTTGCTTTTACCCTTCGGGAGAGTGAGTCAGTTGGGGGTGGTGCTAGGCACAGAGCTTGTGTTTTGATTCTCACTGGAATGGCCATGTCTCATGAAAAACATGGTTTGCTCCAGGCCACAGTGTTACAATTTGCATATAAACTTATGAAAAAGGAAGCTTTCTTTAAGCTTTCATGTTCGAGAGTTTACAGGAGCATTTCTGTCTGTGTATATAATAGCAGAAGCTGGACTTCTCATAAATGTAAATGGGTTAAGTATGTCGCTGCCTGAATGGGAATCTTCTGTGGAAAAACCCAGAAAGAGGAAGGAAAGCCTAAGGAAATACCAACTTCAAGGGGAGAAGTTGGCCAAGACTTCTGTTGTGCTGCTTTTTGGTTTGTACCTGGCCACCAGCAGTGTAGTTGGGGAATGCCTCGGAGCCGTGCAGGAATGTAGCCTCAGGGCACCTTTGGGAGGCAGAGAAGATATCTTTATGCCCTTTGCTCAAAAAGAGGATGGAGGTACAAAGGCACTGAGTGATCTGCCAGAGATTACAAGAGTATATATTTGAGTTAGGTAACAGACCCAGGTCTCCTGACACAGGAAGTACAGCCAGAAGTATGGTCTACATATAGACAGCTTCTCCAGCAAATGGAGAGATGCCTGGGTCAAAGAGGAAGATAAATGTTGAAGTATACAAGAGCTGGCTAAATTATGAATGTGAGAAGAGGAGGAGGGGAAGAAAAGATTCCCACATGTTCTACTCAGATGTTAACAAAGAAAGCTGAGAGGTGTTTGCATAGACACTACATTATTCCATGTCCAAATGCCTCATAAAAATAATACCAGATCATCACAGAACGGCACACCAGGGAAAATAAATTCTTCAGCAGAATATTCCCTCTGGAAAAACACTGTGTAAAGTAATACACTAATGGCTTTCAATTTCATGTTTTATATAGAGAGATATTAACTGCTCCCCAGACGTCTCTTCTTATTACAGCCCAGCTACACGAGCAGTTTGGAGAAGGCTCCGGAGCACGCTCGGTCTTGTCCGCACACAGGACCAAGCACTGCTCTCCTGTTGTACGTGCAAATCCTGTGGTGTATACAGTAGGTTTCTTCTGCCTCCTTCCCAGAGCAGTACTGCAGCCGTGTTTCTCTCCAGTGGGAATTTTTTTTTTTCTTCTTCCTAGTCCTCATGGTTTTTTCCATTCTTCCCCCGTGCTCTGTAGCCTCACCGCCATGCTGGGAACCCTGCATTCCTTCTCTGCTTGTAAAAAAGGAGTCCTCACAAGAAGTGTTACAGTGGAGTGATTAAAGCACAACACTGTCAATCAAAATGCTAATAACAAATGCTAGAGAAAGTTAAGTGTAAAAACAACATTATTAATTCCTTTTTGGGGGGGTTCCAGGCTTGTCTGGATTTATCTGGTGACTTCTCTCGCCACATTGCTCAGACTGGGAGCTGTTTGAGTCAGGAACTGTCTGTCCTGTATAATGCCAACTATGGTTATGCCGTTGTAGCAAATCAGAATGAACTGGGTTCTTTTCCAAGCTTTCCTAATATATCTCAAATGTGTATATATATCATCCTGCCGCATCCTGAGGGATCCAAAAGTAGCTTACATGCTTTGTTCCCTGGATGTAGCCTATTGGAGTCTGGGACAGGCAGGGAAGAGGTCATGAGTGTGGGGACATTGATGTTGCACTGCGCAAGGACAGCAGCCCTGCTGTTGGGATGACAAGGCATGTCCAAGTCGTTTTAGGAAGTTTTGCAGTATTTGTTTGAAAAGGCCAATAAACACAGACCGTGGTATGAGAGAACATCATATCGTTGCTGGATTATTTAATTATTATTAGGGACATATTATTTGTATACACATTTATAAGTAATTCTGTTCTGAAGTCAGTCTGCCTTCCTGCTTGCACCTCAGCTCTCGCTTCCCTTTCTCTCCTTCCAACCGTCAGCAACCACACCACTCCACCCACAGAACCTTGAAGGAGAAGTGCAGGGTCCCAAGACTGGGGACACCACAGTTATTCTCAAACTGGAGAATACCATTTTGAGTGGGACAAAGCCCCAGACCATAGTTGCTCTGTTGCCTTCAGTGGGGCTCTCCTGCGTAGGGTGGCTGAGGTTGTCCTAAATACCTTCCATGACTCTGTGCATGAATTATTTTCAACACTGATTGCTGGGTAAGGACATCAGACCTGCATGGGATACTCTAGAACTCGAATGGCAGAGGGAAATTGCAAAGGTGTGCCTTCCACCCACCCTCTTCCATCATCTCTGCACCATAATCTTCACTAGGAAAATGTCTTTCCCATGATCTAAGAAACCCTCTTTCTCTCTCTCTGAAATCCTGTCTTCACTTTAAATCTACCTGCTACATAACATTTTCAACAACAATCTGAACAAGGCAGCAAGCCTTTTGTACGTGTGTGTGTGTGTGTGTACAGATTTTTTGTGTGTTATGTATTTATATGTGGCATTAGGGACCTTTTTCAGAAACAGCCAGAGCTCTCAGGGCTTGTCTTTACTTAGAGTCCTTACTAGCAGCTTCTGATACACCTTTCTTGAAGTACGGTAAGAGTAAAGTATCCACACATCAGTTTCTTGAGGAATAGTTTCTGTGCTTTAAATAGACGCAATATCTTAATCCATATTAATCTTCAAACAGAAAAAAAGTCATTTTTCCATGTAAGAGATGATATTGCACTCTTTGTAATCACTCAGTCTTTAGCTATTACTTTTTATTTAAAATATCAACTAGCTCAGCATCAGCATGTTAGCAAGAGCGTGAGGATTGATACTGCTATACTGGCAAAAGCGTAAAAAGTTAAATCCTTTTGCCAGTATAATTGGCTCCATTGAGAGAATTGGTTTAAGCTGTACAAGCAAAAACTACTCTTTAAATGGTAACAATTGCACTGCCACCAGGCAGCTTTATGAGGCATCCTACCACAAAATCCTTTCATGTGGAGGCAAGGCTTTAGGCACAGGTTTATCCCATCTAACTGAGGAGCTGAGGATGACTATATAGCTGGGCTAGATGATAGTTGAATGGTTTGCATCTGGGGCTTAGACTCCTTATGATAATCACTGGCTAGCAGCAGTAGAATTGGTATCAGTGCAGTCTTGGGAGCCAGTTTCAAGCCTTTCTACATCTTTTCAGATGGGCCAGCACCAGAGTGCCTTCCAGTGGCACTAGATCTTTGCCAGTAGTGGCACAAATTGCTCTTCTGTTGACTGAGCTGCTGTGTCCCCCTTACTTGCTATGCAGCACAGGCATGCATGAGGACCTTCTCTGCAGTTGAGACCAGGAGCTTGCTTTGACTTATGTCCTTTCCCTTTGGTGACAGGCCGCTGTGCCCGCTGTGGGGAGAATGTTGTTGGGGAAGGCACTGGCTGCACGGCCATGGACCAGGTCTTCCATGTGGAGTGCTTCACCTGCATGATGTGCAACAACAAGCTGAGGGGACAGCCTTTCTACGCAGTGGAGAAGAAAGCCTACTGTGAACCCTGCTATATTGTAAGTACCCATTCTTATTTGCACCCTGATTGTAATGCATAGACATTGGAAACATTGATTTCTTTCATTGCTGTACAGTTGCCTTACAGTTAAAACCTGACGATCCCATGGCAGTACTGTGGGCACCAGTTTTTCCATGGTCTTCAGAACTCTGATCTTTTCAGCTTCCTGGGTGAATTTCATTTCCTGGTCTAACCTATCTCTGAAGTGAAGTGGCCAAAGCAGGGGAAAGAGGTGCATTTTGTGATTATTTCAGCTCTGTAAGGAGCAGACTATGCAGTGATTTTTAAGAGGTAGTGTTGCTCTCAGAAGCTTTCTGTGTTGAGAAACGTTACCAAAATGCTTACAGACTGTGGTGCCTACTAAGATTAAGGAGGTGGGATGCAAGATAGCACTAAAACTCCTAAAATCAAGACCTTTGCATTGCTTGATAGAAGTCCTTCTACTGAACTAAGGGTCTTTGGATTGGATATCTTTTGAAGCTTACCTTAACCTAAAACTTCATTTCATGCTTCCAACAAGCTCTTAAGGCAAACAATTAACAGTTGCTCTGGGGAGCTGCACCTTTTAAGAGGCTCCCATAAGAGCTAGTTGGAACCAGTTGCACAGTTGCAAATTAAAGAAACATCACATAACATGCCTGAGGCGTCACCTTGCTGTGACCTTAGCATACAGTATATAGGGATAATCCTTGTAATTTAGAACAGTAAAAGCACCAAAACGTTCTTAAAGCGTTGATAGGTCTTTCTCTAAACCTCCAATTCAGAGTTCTTTTTATAAACGCTGGACCTGAGACCCTTCCAGAATTAGATTTGCACTTCTGAAAGTAAAAATTGATGCTTTTCTTGACATTTCTGGCATTCCAATAATAATTAAAGCGATAATATGTATTTCTGAAAGTGCCACTAATATCCCATTATTCCTTCTGTTTCTGCAGAGCCTGTGCAGTGGGATTATTGCTGAAATATTGAATATAAAAAGGGAGGATTCTGTCTTATTTACAATGGCAGTGATATATGGGTCTTGTTAATTGGCTTTTAAAAACTAAATGATCTTTTGATGGAATATGTATGTTTTAAACAGTTTCCATTTTTGTTTGCACTAAAATGATTGTACCATAAAAAATTTAAGGTTAATTTTGTGGCAAGTTTGACCATGTGCAAAGCGCTGCAGACTTTAGGAAGGTATATTCATAATATGATTGGAGCAACTTTATGTAACTGGAATTAAACATTTCATTGACTTCAGGCTGGAATTGACTTCATCTGCTTGAAGATTGATACTTTCTTTTCCTCTTTTTTTAAATCAAGCACGCATTCTTCACCACTCATCTGCTTTAGTTTGGGAAAACATCTGCATTAGCCACTGTAGTAATGGTTTAAGATTATTTAATCCCATTACTTATACACTTCATTAGCCTGAGTGAATTGTTGGCAAGGGTTCAGTAAACTTCCTACATTGGGAGATAAAAGGATAAAAAAGGAAAGGGAGAAGGATTCTGTTCCTCGTTTTCTTTCAAATTTATCTTCTATCTATTTAAGGGATAAAGGAATGATAATTGCCTGGTTGCATCTGTGTTTGTATGTTCTGTGATATGGCTTTGCAGCTGAGTACAGAGGAAAGAGTAAACGTTTAATAGCTTTCTTTTATATAACCAGAAGGGGCCTTTAAATGTTTATCCATGCAGTCCACAAAAACCTGGTTATGGACTTAACCCAAAACACGTCTGGATCCATCTGCTGCTGCACATGCAGGAGAAAGGATGGCGATGCTGGTGGGGCTACGTATGTGTAGCTGGACAGCTGGTACCACAAGTGGGAAATGGAAAGCAGGAATCTGGCAATCTGATGCAGCAAAGGAAAAAAAAAAAACCAAACCAAAACACCCAAACACACATTAAACTCCTAAATGTGGAAGAAACAAGTATTGGAAGCCTAAGTCTCGATACCCTTCAGAAAGCTCAGGACTCTGCTGTGCCGAAAGCCAGATTTACAAGGGATCTAGGCACCTGCCATGCTATTGGCTTTAGGCCTGAGGAATTTGTGTCGCAGAGCGTATGTCTCATTGATTTTTTTCAATGAAATGAGGTCTGCATTGGCTTCAGTAGGATGATGAGTGCCGAAGTACACTGAGAGCCTGAGCTAGGCTTATAAGTTGTTCTTGCAAATGGATTGGGGGCCCTTAAATTGCTGAGGCACAATCTGAATGTTTTTGCCTTCAGATGTGTGATGTGGTCATACTGAAGTCAATGAGAGTTAATGACCTGCCTAAAATCTAGCCTGTGCTTAAGGATTTTGCTGAATTGTGGCCTCTGATTTTTTTTTTGGAGCTTTCCCAAGTCCCATTATCAGAAAATAACTCAGACACTTGGAGCCCTAGTTCTGTAGGAAATCAATGGGACTGAAGAACCCAGACTCAGATTCCTGTGGACCTGAATTCCCATGAAAGGTGGAGCCTGTGTGACTAGGCTAAGATTGCACAGCTAATCCATGGCTGTGGCCAGCAGAGAAAACAGGATTCTCAGCTGGTATAAATTTGAATAATTCAATGAAGCTTGTTTACTGGTCTACCTAATTCACACTGATTTCTAGCACACATCCCCATTTCCCCAAGTCCAAAACTCTTGACCTATTATGCAAGCCATTAAGCCAAGCTGCTTCGTTTATATAAAGAAAATTAGCTGTAATATTTGCCTGGTTGTGATATATAAATTCATTAATTCTTTGATTTTTTTAATAATTTCCTTGTGTGACTTGTAGCTGTAGTCCATAAAAACTATGCGCAAAAATAAAAATACACATTTTTCAACAGTTAGAATTGGCTAATCTTCTCAGTTTATTATGTGACTTTTCTTAGTTGTGGTGGAGTGAAGCCATAATTAAGATTACTGTGAAGAGCTGTATTTAATTACTTGTTAGTCAATACCAAGCCTAAATAGCCTGCAGAAGGGCTGTTTTTTTGTTTTTGTTTCTGGTTTTATTTATCACTGACCCAGTTAAGATGAAATTCCCCAAAAGTCTGAATTAACATGTAAGGAGATCAATCACCTGTTTAAAAAAATATTTTTCCTAATGGAAATTTGGGTACCGGAGTTAATTTCTTTCACACAAAAATCCCCCCACCCAAAAGCCAGTCACTATCATTTCCTGTTACATCTTACGATTGCAGAGAGTTCTGTTACCAATGTGTGTGCTGGTTTTGCTTTGCATCCAAGGATTCTTTCATTATTAATGTTATTTATAAAAGAGTACCAGTCTTCTCCATTAAGACACTTCTGCTGAACTAAAAGCAACTGTAAAAAATAAAGTGTAAATAGGAGACAGATGTCTCCTAGTCATTACGACAGTCAAGTAACATCTGAAATATCACGATAGGGTTTCCAGTGTAACCAGCGTATTGCTGTACACGTGATGAATGCTGTGTCTGCAGTATGTTATCAGTATACTTCTCCCCTCCCTTACAGGGCAAATTACTGACAAAAAAACATTTGGTTTGCTTCCTCTAAGTAGTGGAAGAGATTTTAGCACTTGGGCTCAGTGCAGAGAAAAGGTTAAGAGTAGTATCAGTGGAACCATTGTTATAAAAGATTGAAGAGCAACATGTTAGAGCAGTGCCAGCTGTCTGCTTTCCAAATACCATATTATCATAAGGACTGAACGCAAGGTTAACCAGACACACCGGTTTGGCAAGAGTGATGCTGCTGTTTTGTGAATGGGATGTTCTTTGATGTCCTGATGACTTTCTCTGGGACGTAGAAATTTTCCTCCATTCTTTACTCCCTTTCCTGGCAGTCTGGTGGTTGGCAGTTGGAGATAAACTCGCTGAGGGCTGAGAGGTGCTGAGCACCTGCAGTTAGCACAGAAAGCAGCAAGATCTTGCAGATGCTCCTGGCCCCTGAGCGTTTCTTCTGTTGTGTCCAAGTTGATGTGACCCACCATTGGGCGCTAAGGGAAGGACCATGGTGTGATGGGGAAGGGGATGAGAAAGCAGAAATAACTAACCAAGCAAAGCAGAAATAGCCAGGGTCAGATGAAAGAGTTCAGAGAAGTGGTGGGCTAGAAATGATGAGGAATTGAAGGAGAGGTAAGAAACTGTCTCATGTCTGTCTCTCTAGCTAGAGTCGGGGAAGATGGTGGGTATGCTCCGCAGTACCCTATGGATACCCAGGAATTGACGTTTCCTGTTCTGCTTTGCACTGCAAGATATTAAGGACATGACCTTAAACCCTACCCCAAAGACCCCTTTGGATTTTGCAGGGTGAGGTTCATCTTTCCATAGTACTAAAGCTGTGGAAGTGCTTGAACGGGGGAAGAACTGTGGCATGAAGTCATGCCCTGATCACTGCTGTTCCCCAGCTTTAAACTCGGGATTGTAGTGCTCCGCTTTTTTTCCCCCCGATTATTTGTTTTGTGAGGAAAAAAACCACAACCATATCTTCAAGGTTTCTCTCTCTTACTAGCTTCTAATTTTCTGGCCTATCAAAAGCTGTAGTTCAGTAGGAGAAGATAGCTCAGACCAGAACACAAAAGAAATGCTGATGTTTTAGGAAATGGTACGACTAGAGCCACTGGTGCCACGGAGCATCCTGGGAAAGCTTAAATTTGCAGATCATTCTGAAATGTCAGTGTTAACTCAGTTTGTGCTCATTGAAATCTCTGGTAAAACTGCTATCGGCTTCAGCGTGACTGGTATTGTAAACCTCACCGTGTGTGCACATGTGAGCGTGGTTGTTTGAAAGCTGTGCAAGAGCAGCTACCTCCAGCACATACGGTTTAAAGTGTAAGGTTGATCCCTGCAGTAAAATTACATCTATTCTTAAAAATAATTCTGCAATTTGTAAGCGGAGATTACAGCACTAATTTAGCAACCATGTAACAATTTAAATTGGACCAGAAAAGAGAAACTATAATTTAAAGATTTTTTTTATGATACAAGTTTTCTTCTTTTTAAAGTAAAAAGCCCTTTATTCTTGTTTTTATCAAGCAACGTATTGAATTTGA